TTCCTTCTACCAGTCTAGCCCCTCGGCTGTATAACTGCTGAGGTCCACTCCAGGCTCTGCTTGTCTGTAGCAGCCTCTGTGCATTCACTGAGAGCTGCCATCCTGAGTTGCTCTTACCGCACCATCTTGAATCTCCCGTCTCCAGATTTTTTAATGATCGCCACTCTAACTAGTTTGAGATGATATCTCAGTGTGGTTTTGATTTGCATTTTTCTAATTACCAGTGATGATGAGCATTTTTACATATATTTGTTGGCCTCATATATGTCTTCTTTTGAAAAGTGTCTGTTTATAACCTTTGCCCACTTTTGAATGGGGTTGTTTTTTTCTTGTATATCTGTTTTAGTTCCTTGTAGATTCTGGATATTAGCCCTTTGTCAGATGGGTAGATTGCAAAAATTTTTCCCATTCTGTTGGTTGCTGATTCACTCTAATGATGGTTTCTTTTGCTATACAGAAGCTCTGGAGTTTAATTAGATCCAATTTGTCTATCTTGATTTTTATTGCCATTGCTTTTGGTGTTTTAGTCATGAAGTCCTTGCCTATGCCTATGTCCTGGATGGTTCTGCCTACATTTTCTGCAAGTGTTTTTATGGTGTTTCGTTTTATGCTTAAATCTTTGATCCGTCTGGAGTTAATTTTACTGTAAGGTGACAGGTAGGGGTCCAGTTTCTGCTTTCTGCACATTGCTAGCCAGTTTTCCCAACACCATTTATTAAACAAGGAGTCCTTTCCCCATTGGTTGTTTTTGCCGGGTTTGTCAAAGATCAGATGGTTGTAGATGTGCTGTGTTTATTCTGGGGTCTCTGTTCTGTTCCATTGGTCTATGTCTCTGTTTTGATACCAGTACCATGCTGTGTTGATTTACCGTAGCCTTGTAGGAAAGTCTGAAGTCCAGCAGTGTGATGCCTCTGGCTTTGGTCTTTTTGCTTAGGATTGTCTTGGCTATGTGGGGTCCTTTGTGATTCTATATGAAGTTTAAACTGTTTTTTTCCAGTTCTGTGAAGAAGGTCCATTGGTAGGCTTGATGGGGATAGCGTTGAATCTATAGATTACTTTGGGCAGTATGGCCATTTTCATGATACTGATTCTTCCTAACCATGAGCATGGAATGTTTCTCCATCTGTTTGTGTCCTCTCTTATTTTGTTGAGCATTGGTTTGTAGTTCTTCTTGAAGAGGACCTTTACATCCTTTGTTAGTTGTATTCCTAGGTATTTCATTCTCTTTGTAGCAATTGTGAATGGGAGTTTGCTCTTGATTTGACTCTGTTTTTCTGTTATTGGTATATAGGAATGCTTGTGATTTCTGCACATTGATTTTATATCCTGAGACTTTGCTGAAGTTGCTTATCAGTTTGAGATTTTGGGCTGAGATGATGGGGTCTTCTAGATATACAATCATATCATCTGCAAATAGAGACAGTTTGACGTCTTCCTTTCCTATTTGATTACCCTTTATTCCTTTTTCTTGCATGATTGCTCTGGCTAGAACTTCCAATACTATGTTGAATAGGAGTGGTGGGAGAGGGCATCCTTTTGATCAAATCCCTTTGATTTCAAAGGGAATTCTTCCAGCTTTTGCCCATTCTGTATGATTTTGGCTGTAGGTTTGTCATATATAGCTTTTATCATTTTATGATATGTTCCATCAATACCTAGTTTATTGAGAGTTTTTAGCATGAAGGGCTATGGAATTTTATTGAAGGCCTTCTCTGAATCTATTGAGATAATCACCTGACAGAAACACTGAACATGGAAAGAACAAGTACCAGTCACTGCAAAAACAAACCAGTTGGCAAAGACCAAAAATGCAATGAAGAAAATGAGTCAACTAATGGGAAAGAAAACCAACCAGTAACAAAATGGCAGGATCAAATTCACACATAATAATAGTAACATTGAATGTAAATGGCCTAAATGTCCCAATCAAAAGACACAGACTGGCAAGCTGGATTAAAAAGTCAAAACCCATTGGTGTGCTGTATTCAGGAAACCCCTCTCACATACAAAGACACACACTCCTCAAAATAAAGGGATGGAAGATGATTTACTAAGCAAAATGGAGAACAAAAAAAAGCAGGGGTTGCAATCCTAGTCTCAGATAAAATGGACTTCAACAAAGATCAAAAGAGACAAAGAAGGACACTACATAATGGCAAAAGGATCAATCCAACAAGAAGAGCTAACTATCCTAAATATATACACCCCCAACACAGGAGCACCCAGATACATAAAGCAAGTTCTTAACGACCTAAAACGAGATTTAGACTCCCACACAATAATAGTGGGAGACTTCAACACTCCACTGTCAATATTAGACAGATCAACGAGACAGAAAATTAACAAGGATATCCAGGACTTGAATGCAGAGCTGGACCAAGCTGACCTAATAGGCATATACAGAACGCTCCACCCGAAACCCACAGAATATACATTTTTCTCAGCACCACATTGCATTTACTCTAAAATTGACCACATCATTGGAAGCATATCACTCCTCAGCAAATGCAAAAAAACAGAAATCATAACAAACAGACCACAACACAATCAGATTAGAACTCAGGATCAAGAAACACACTCAAACCCGCACAACCACTTGGAAACTGAAAAACTTGCTTCTGAGTGTCGACTGGATAAACAATGAAATGAAGGCAGAAAGAAAGATGTTCTTCAAAACCAACCAGAATGAAGACACAACTTACCAGAATCTCTGGGACACCTTTAAAGCAGTGTTGAAAGGGAAATTTATAGCAATAAATGCCCACCAGAGAAGAGAGGAAAGATCTAAAATCAACATCCTGTCATCAAAATTGAAAGAGCTAGAGGAACAAGATCAAAAAAACTCAAAAGCTAGCAGAAGACAAGAAATGACTAAGATCAGAGCAGAACTCAATGAGATAGACACACAAAAAACCCTTCAAAAAATAAACAAATCCAGGAGCTGTTTTTTTGAAAAGATCAACAAAATAGACCTCTAGACAGATTAATAAAAAAAGAAAAGGGAGAAGCATCAAATAGATGCAATAAAAAATGATAAAGGAGATATCACTACTGATCCCACAGGAATATAAACTATCATCAGAGATTACTACAAACAGCCCTACTCACATGAACCAGTAAACCAGGAAGAAATGGATAAATTCTTAGACACTTGTACTCTACTAAGACTAAACCAGGAAGAAGGTGAAACCCTGAATAGACCAATAACAAGGGCTGAAGTAGAGGCAGCAATCAATAGCCTACCAACCAAAAAAAGTTGAGCTCCAGACGGGTTCACAGCCGAATTCTACCAGACGTACAAAGAGGAGCTGGTTCCATTCCTTCTGAAACTGTATCAAACAATACAAAAGGAGGGAATCCTCTCTAACTCATTTTATGAGACCAACATCATCCTGATACCAAAACCAGGCAGGGACTCAACTAAAAAAGAAAACTTCAGGCCAATATCCATGATGAACATTGATGCAAAAATCTTCAATAAAATACTGGCAAACAGATTGCAACAGCACATCAAGAAGCTTATTCATCACAACCAAGTAGGCTTTATCCGGGGATGCAAGGCTGGTTCAACATATGCAAATCTGTAAATGTCATCCATCACGTAAACGGAACCAAAAACAAAAGCTAAGTTTTTTCCCACAAATCTAATTGTCCCACTGGGCAATTAGGATCTCATATTAACTTCCTAGATTGAAGGGATGTAGGAAGGCCCAGAACCAATTCCATTCTCACTACACAGCAGAGTTAGTCTCTAATGAAAAGCCAAAGGATTCATGATAAAATGATAATCCACAAGAAAAATCACCTTGGTCAATTACAAAAGGCAGTTCACTGAAATCATAAAGATGAAAACAGAGAGGCTATTTAAAAACCTCTCTTTACAGAAACATAATTTTAGGAGAAACTCACTTTACAGCTAGCATAACTAAGACTGGGAGAAAGGATATAGCTTATCTTCCTACATGGGTATTTGGTCCAAAGACCCAGCGTTCCTGTAACGTGGATTCATTTTTCTCTTCCTGGCAGCATTTCCAGGTGTGGAAGGACTAAAATAACACAGGCCACTATTTTTTATTTTAACAGTCTACTTTAACTAAAACTACTGATGTCTTCTTGCTGCAACAGGATTTTGGTGGAATGCCCGCTTCTCTGCATTTTCTAGTTTATTTCATTTTATGCCAGATATGTGACATTATCCAGACACTTGTTTAGTTATTTAAAATGGAATAGTAGTATGCCAGAGTTTCTCCCACAAGTCAGCAAATAATAATAATAGTTTTGCTCAAGGGATGTTAAATAGCAGAGTACCTCACTGCTATGAAGATTTTATTACTTTTTACTTTTTTTTAACTTAACATTATCACTAAGTATTAAAAGCTCTACTCATTTGACTCTAATCACCAGCAGGGTTGGTCTATTTCCGGAGCTCCAAGACCCTGCAAGTCTCACATTAGGAGCTTCGACTCCCTTCTACAACATGTTATTAAGAAGGGGAATAACAATGAGAGAATTTCAAACTAGTCTTTGCCCAGAGATTGACAGCAACATCATCAGCCTTAAAAGAACTGCTGAGAACACATGGACACAGGGAGGGGAGCATCACACACTGGGGTCTGTTGTGGGGGAATAGCAGAGGGACAGCGAGGGGTAGGGAGGTTGGGGAGGGATAACATGGGGAGAAATGCCAGATGTAGATGAGGGGGGGATGGAGGCAGCAAACCATATTGCTATGTATATACCTATGCAACAATCCTGCATGTTCTGCACATGTACCCCAGAACCTAAAGTGCAATTATATATATATATATATATATATATATATATACACACACACACACACACACACACATATATGAAAGAACTCCTGAGAGGTTCTGGTGCAGCAGCTGGCATAAAAGAGCAACCACACTCCCTAAAAGGACTGTTCTGTTGCACCCCCCACCCCAACCTCCACCTCCCATTTTCCAAATCAACATTTCCCCAAAGTAAAAGGGACTTACCCTACTATTACTATAACAAAATCCAGTAAATTCCATCCATTCCTAACATAAGCATTAGGATGTAGCAATAATCCATATGCTATAATCTTCAAAAATGTCTCGACTGTAAAAATAATCAGGAAGGCATATTCTACTTTTTCCTGTGGAGAAAAACAAAGAAACATGCCAAAAAAAGTAGGGGCAGGGGAGGAAGAGGAGACAGAAAAAGGAACAGAGATTAGAATCAACATCTTAGACATATAAGCATTTTCTTCCAAGCAAAGTTTAATTATGAGAAACGGAACAATTACACCGCCCCTGGGCCAGGAAGGCATTTACATTCTAACGCTGAATTTCTCATAAGCAACTAAGTGCACAGCACTTTTCGTTCCAGGCTGCATGACTGCATTTTCCACCTGCCCCAATGAGTGTGCAATGAGTCTGCTTAGGACATAATGGGCATGTTTGTTATTTGCACACATTTGCAAACTGCAGCCTGTCTTCCTCCTGAGGTTGCCAAATCAGGCCCAGAAAAGCACAAGGGTACAACAGAGATTCTAACAGTGGCTTTGAACAGAATGTCCTCCGGAAGAAATGAAGATGCATCTGTTTTGACCCTCTCTTCCACTTGGGTTTATGTCTGACTTCAAAGTCAGAGTCAGCTTTGTCACTGAGCAGCAAGGTGACCTTGGCCAAGTCCCTCCCCTCCGCTGGACATAGGTTTCTGCATCCGTACAGTAAGGGAAGAGAATTCAGGGTGGCAAACACCCTGCCTCCTTACTGGCATGCCACCTCTCCTGGCTGACCTTGTGACAGGTCACCATGTGCTTTCCCAGGAAACCCGGGTTCAGCATCTGACCCTTTCTCTTGTACATGTCCCAGCAGCCATGCCCATCTGACTGCCACAGATCTCACAGGTACCGCCCATGGGCTAAATGACTCATAGAACCTTTCCAGTGCCAACCCGTGAAACTCCATGAGCTTTAGAAAATGTGTCAATCAGCAAGTCTAAAAACTATGTCTCTTTCCTCTTTCATAAATGTTTTCTTTATATGGCTTTAGTTTCACTAGAAATAGGGACAGACAGAGATGTGTGTATTAACTTTCCAAGAGGCATTCCCAGGCGTGAAGCTACTTAAAGTAACATCAGTAACTGTAACTTTTCAATATAAAATATAAAGTCCCATACTAAAATGAGTGAGACCTGAAACATTACCAACATCTCAGAGAAATGGAGGTCATGAAATTCACTCATTAAAATGCGTAGTGCAAGAAGTCAAAATAAATAAGGCTCAGGAAACACTTATGTGAACACCCCTTCTAAATGACAGGCACTGTACCAGGAGCCAAAAAAATGTCCCCACTATGGTACCTATCATTTAGTCTGCTGTGTGGGGGGGGGGGGCGGGGTGTGGAGGGGAAAGTTTCTAATGTACACACAGAGAATTTCTCAAGAGTCATAAAAGTAGTACCTGACAAGAGCGATTTTGTATCTTCAATCCTCTGATCAGGCCAAAGGTTTAGTCTACTTCTCCCCACCCCCTCCTTCTCACCACTAATTCCAGGGGGGAAAAACACATTGCTGTGTTATATGTGATCACTATTATAGATATATTTTATGCAATACACAAATGCATATTTTTAAAGAAATTTTACGTTTCTGAATAATTTTTTCACAAACATGTTTTAAAACACAAATTTTAAGATGATACTCATAAGGCTGACCCTTTGAAGGACTGTTAACTGTTAACTGTTTGCTTGCAGAAGCCCCAACACTCTCGTACATTTACCTCATTTACATGGGAGCCTTGCCTGTGCCGCCCCTGGGCTCTGGCCATTTGCTGCCAGAATGGCTGCCCTCCTGTCACCAGCCGTGCCAAGCAGAACTTCCCTTTGTCGTGCCACAGGTGTCCTCCCTCTTGACTACCAGGGGAACCATGCAGCCATGGCCGTACATCCCAGCCTTCGCCCCATTCTCCACTCTTTGCTGGTCATGTAAAAGCCAGTTCATCAGGGCTTCCTCCCAAGGACATGGCGGTTGTAGTTCTTGCCATTTCTAAACACCTGCCCTCCAGAGCTCCCTTTGCTCCTCAGAACACCATTACAACAGTCTAGTGAATGAACTGTTTCTTTGTTTTTGTTTTTGAGAATAAGCCAGCATCAGTGTGTTTATAATTTAATTTAGAAAGGTTAGCTCATCCCCAACCTCCACACTCATACCCCCTCCATACCTTCAGACCAGTGCTGTTCTTAGCCAGCTCATCCCATGCCCCTATGCCTTCTTCCCCCATGCCCTTCACACTGCTACATGAGTTGCCAGGCTTTGAGCTACAAGGATGCCCTTCCTTTCTTGCTGTCCAGATTCCCTGTCACCTGGTTCCCCGCCACGTCCCCCAGGGGAGTGCTCCCTCAGGAGGCATGCAGGGCGTGGCTCTTGGAGGAAACAATGGCTGGCCCACTCACACCACTGTGGTATTCTGAGGAGCAAGGACCGGCGTTGCCACTGGATAGGGAGAAAGATCCAGGAAGGCCTCAATGAGGCTGTAACTTTAACTCTGAAAGCTCAAAGAAAAAGGGACTCTGTTACTTTAACCAGAGGCAAAAATCCCTGAAAATGCCAACCCACTGTACTCACATGAGACCCTGACCACCAAACGCAGACTGTCAATATGCTTGAGACTTAGAGTTCTAAGGGAACCAGAGAAGCTAAAAACAGCACACTGATTTTACAATTCATCCCTTTTTATCCTTGCTGCTTTATTTACTAGGCCAGACAGAAAAAAAAAAAAAGCTTTTGCTGCCATCAATATTCATAGCAGTTACATTCCTACGTCAAGACAGTACACTATACTTCACAGCAGAAAAACAAGGCAGAGAACAGACAGTACACCTCCCAAACACAGCTTGTTTTTCCTCTTTGGCTTTTGTCTAGAAGTAATTTTGCCACAGTAACACAAGGGCCATTAGTATAAATTAATCGTTTAACATTCTTTTTCCTTCTCCTTTGCCCTCTCCCCGCTTCTTTTTAAAGAATTTGGTTTCTCTTTCCAAAATCCTTAGTGAATTATTTGATGGAACTCTTTACAGGAAACACAAACTTCCTTTAACACAATTCTTTATTACAGAGATTTTACCATGTGTCAACTGAACTGTGGCTTGGAGGGCAGGCAGAGCAGTTTATCTGGAAGCCAGTGCCATCCTGGTCCTCAATCCTGCCACTAAAAAGGAATCCCATGAAACAGGTATAGCTCCACATTCAACAAACTATTATTTTTAAATCTTGCAAAACATCGTTCGGGAGGAGTGGGATATTTGCTTGACAAAATGATTGTTCATTTGAGAAAAAGAATGTTGAATTTGCAATTTGAAAAGGAAGCCAACAAGAAAGTCAGGTTTGTCACCAAGCAGGTGAGGCGGGACGGTGGGCCCAGCCAAGGCAGCTGGGTAAGAGATGACACATAGAAGACACTGAGTCTGTGGCCACAAGAGATGGAAACACAAGGGAAGAAGCACTATCAAGGATGAGAGACTGGGATGGCAGAAGAAGGGGTCGGAAGGAACTCTCTAGAACCAGACATGAAATGAGGCGTCCCCCGTACAAAAGACCCGAGCAGGAGCTGTACCTTAATAGCCCTTCGCCAGGTTCAATCAGAAGAGTAAATGATCCCTGCATCTCATCCCCCACTGTGTGCCAGGCACTCAGTCACCCACCAGCAGGGATTTCCTCTCTCTGGTAGGAGATCCTGAGTGGGCAGGGCCTGCCAAACCTCTCTTTAGAAAACAACCACCAGATAGGTCGGGCGCGGTGGCTCACGCCTGTAATCCCAGCACTTTGGGAGGCCAAGGTGGATGGATCATGAGGTCAAGAGATCGAGACCATCCTGGTCAACATGGTGAAACCCTGTCTCTACTAAAAATACAAAAAATTAGCTGGGCATGGTGGCGCGTGCCTGTAATCCCAGCTACTCAGGAGGCTGAGGCAGGAGAATTGCCTGAATCCAGGAGGCAGAGGTTGCGGTGAGCCGAGATCACGCCATTGCACTCCAGCCTGGGTAACGAGTGAAACTCCGTCTCAAAAAAAAAAAAAAAAAGAAAGAAAAGAAAACAACCACCAGAAACTACCCTATAGATGGATGGAAGTCCCCCTGACAAGAACACAAGCCACCAGAGAAACAAAGGCTCAAATCTAATTCTGAAACCCAAGGTATCTTCTGTAAACAGTGAAATTTCACCAACAGGACCGGCTCTAAACCAAGTCTCTAAACTAGTTAATAATCTCTAAAATCAGTTAATGCTACACAGCATCTTGAGAAACAAGAACTGTCAACCAGCAGGAGGTGGGAGATGCCAGAATCCTTTATTAGACTTGGTACTGTCCTTTCCTATTTTAAGAATCTTCTTATTAGTGTGTTGTGGTATGAATGCTTGTCCATCTATTCCTGAGCAGCTGCATCCTCCTCAGCAAAGCCAGATCCTTGTCCTTCCAGAGCTCCCAAGCTGCTGTCAAAAGGTGAATGAAGGCTTAATGCAGCTAGCTAAGAGTCACTTCTCTGTTCTGCTCTTCCACCCATGTGGTCCAAGACATTGGTAAGATTACATCCTGCCAGAAATCCCCCTCACCCACTGACACCTTCTATCACTTCTATGCCCTGCCAGTGCCCTGCGATCCTGGGTTCCCTACTGAAAGCAACCTTCTCTTTCTGTCTTTAACTCTAGCATCTAGGTGTATATCAGACATGTGTAAGATATTCATAGGTGCTACTAGAAAGCAGAGGAGAAAAACAAAATGAAGGAATACAGCTATAGATCTAGACACGTAGGGGCTGCTACAGCAGGAGGTTTTGTGATCCTAGCATATGTATAAAAAAAAGACACACAGGATATCTATGTATGCATGTTTCTAAGTTAACATAAACCCTTTTTATCTTCCTATCTTTTTTTCTTTTTTTAAAGATGGGGTTTCACAATATTGGCCAGGCTGGTCTCGAACTCCTGACCTCAAGTGATCCACCCACCTTGGCTTCCCAAAGTACTGGGATTACAGGCATGAGCCACCACACCTGGCCAAACCCTTTTTAGAACAAGCCTGAAATAAACAGTCAAACTGCTGAGACAACAGCTGATCTCAGTATCTCATCTGGCCTCCCCTGCTATCCCAACC